GGCTTCTTCAGGCTCTGTTTGCGGTTCTCTTTGGTGATGGGGATCAGAACGACCCCGACCACAAACACCATGAGGCCGATGGAGAGCAGAGCGGGCCCCAGGATGTTGGTCACCTTCCTGCAGTGTCCCGCGAAGTACAGGCCGCTGATGACCACGCCACAGAGGAGGAAGCTGCCCCCGGTGGTCATGAGGTGGATGGGCAGCCAGAAGACGTCCGAGCAGTTGGCATTGGGGGGGGCGGGGCAGGAGGAGGAGTCCTGGGAGGTGTTCCAGAGGGAGTCTCCGCGGGACAGGCTGAAGACGGTGCTCTCTGTGCGGGACAGTGGAGGAGACAGCTGCTCCTGGGACTGGGACAGGGTGCACTCTCCCAGGGGGATGGTCTCTGGGGCTGGCATGGCCTCGGGGCGGGGACCGGCTGAGGGGGAGAGAGGGGGGAGTCAGGGGAGTCTGTTCATGACATTTAGTCTCTGGTCTCTCTCCGAACCGGCTCAGGGGGAGAGAGACAGTCTGAGCGGTTCATGTAACGTAACATTTATGGTTTCTAAGCACAGACTTTGAAAGTATTTGTACCGTGACTTTATCCCTGCGCTCTCTGGTCTACACTGGTCTCTCTCACTGGTCTTACTTTGGTCTCTCTCTCTGGTCTACACTGGTCTCTAACACTGGTCTTACTTTGGTCTCTCTCTCTGGTCTACACTGGTCTCTCTCACTGGTCTTACTTTGGTCTCTCTCTCTGGTCTACACTGGTCTCTAACACTGGTCTTACTCTGGTCTCTCTCTCTGGTCTACACTGGTCTCTAACACTGGTCTTACTCTGGTCTACACTGGTCTCTCTCACTGGTCTTACTCTGGTCTCTCTCTCTGGTCTACACTGGTCTCTCTCACTGGTCTTACTCTGGTCTCTCTCTCTGGTCTACACTGGTCTCTCTCACTGGTCTTACTCTGGTCTCTCTCACTGGTCTTACTCTGGTCTCTCTCTGGTCTTACTCTGGTCTCTCTCTGGTCTTACTCTGGTCTCTCTCTGGTCTTACTCTGGTCTCTCTCTGGTCTTACTCTGGTCTCTTTCTCTCTGGTCTGTCTCACTCTGGTCTCTCTCTCTCTGGTCTTTCTCTGGTCTCTTTCTCTCTGGTCTTACTCTGGTCTCTCTCTCTCTTGTCTTTTCTCTGGTCTCTCTCTGGTCTTACTCTCTGGTCTCTCTGTCTGTGGTCTCTCTCTCCCAGGTCTCACGCTGGTCTTTCTCTGGTCCCTCTTTCTGGTCTCTCTCAGATTTATCTCTAGTCTCTCTTTCTGAAATCTTTTTGGTCTCTCTGTTTTTTCTCTAGTCCTCTCTCTAGTCTCTCGTCTCTGGTCTCTCTCTCTCTCTGGTCTCGGGAAGGGATCCCATCCAAACACAAACTACAAATGTCACCGCCCCCACCAATGGGGGGACATTCGT